CCCAGCCCCAAAAAGCCTCCGGGCTGTCTGGGAGGATGGGGAGCAGCACGGCCCCAATCACACTGCAATCTGGGGCATGGTTATCATCTCTCACTGCCCGCCGTCCCCTCCCCGTGTCCCCAACCCCTGGGGTCACGGCCAGCGGGTGCCTGCGGGTCATCCTGCACGTCTGCCGGCCCTGCACTGCCCAATGAGCCTGAGAGCAGCTCCAAGGAGGGGTGGGTGCGTTCTGGGCAGAACAGAGGCCAACCACAGAAGCCGCTCATTTTCCATTCAAAGGGAACCGATGGCACCAATGGACCCCAACCCCATCCTCAACCCCACGGCCTCTCCTCAGCTCTGGGTTGGGGGCTCCCAGCATTGCCTCGCAGGCACTGAGCCGGCTCTGCCACGGGATGCGGGGCTGGGTGAGCAGGTTCTGCTCCACACATCCTCCCACAGCCAGAGCATTCCCACGGCCCCATCCTCCCCACCCCAGGGTCATGCCTCAGTTTCCCCAAACCCAACATTTGACCGTGCCCAAGCGCAGCTCGGTGCAATGTCCCCGATGTCCCCAAGCAAAGACCCCACTGAACCGGCACACCCTGAGTCACGCCGCTTCCTCCTGCCACCCCATTTCCCATCAAAGCCGGGTCCTGCCCACCACGGCCCAGCCCTGCTGCTCTCCATCTGATGAGCTCACGGCCCAGGCTGCCGGGACTGGATTTCAGTGTAATTAACTGTTCGTGTTGAAACTCGCGCTTTGAGAGCTGCGCCCTTCGCTGTGGCTGAGCGCCAGGGCCAGAAGTGCTGAGCTTTCTCCTGCGCCGGCACATCTGCACCTCCACGGGGATGTCCTCACCTTGGTGGGATGCTGTCACCTCCCCTGGGGCAGCTCCACGTCAGTGCTGTAGGGGTTGAAACATCCTGAAATGTCCCCCTGTCTGCACGGAGCCCCAGTAATGGGGTCTGGGATATTGTGGGTTGTGTGGATTGGGTGGGGACAACATGGGGATGGAGACATCATGAAGGTGGGGACACCATAGGGAAAACGTGGGGACGGGATCATTGTAGGGATGGGGACACTGTGGGGATGGAAACACCATAGGGACACCGTAGGGATGGGAAGACCATGAGGGTGGGAACACCATGAGGATAGGGACACTATGAGGACAGGGACACTACGGAATAGGGGCATCATGGGGGTGGAAACTCAATGGGAACGGGAGCACCATGGGGATGGAAATACCATGGGGGTGGGGACACTATGGGAACATCATGGAGGTGAGGACAGTACAGGGATGGGAACAGCGCAGGGATGGGGGCACCGTGGGAACGGGGACACACAACTGCAGGGTTGGAGACGTGGGGCACCCTCTCCCTATGGAAAAACCCACCTGGAATGCCCACCTGGAAAGCCCTTTCTGGGACCCGTCCCTGAGGTCTGGGCTCGCTGAGTATTCCCACAACCCACGGCAGGGCTGGGAGGGGCTGCAGGCAGCCGGACCGGTGCTTTGGGGGCCCTGAGTGCTCCCCCAGCACGGCGTGGCATGCAATGGGACCGGCGCTGGGAGCTTCAGGAGCTGCCTGGGCATGTGCACGGGAGGAGAGATGAGGCGACCACAGAGGCAGGCGTGCACGAGATGGTTTATTGGAGCCGCACAGAGGCTTCGGCAATTCACGATCCTCCAACTGGGTGGGGGGCACATCGGACCCCCCTCCCCTTTTTCCCCATCCCGTCCCATCACCTCCTCCCACTGCCCCCAAGGGACCAGTGGCGTGGCTTCAGCCCCCCAAGACAGTGGGTTAGGGCCCCCCTAAGCCACGCTGGGGTATCTCCCAACCAAAATGCTAAAGGGGTGGGGGGAGCATGACAAGAACATGGGGGGGAGAGGGAAAGGGGAGGCCCTGCCAAAGGGCAAACATATGGACCCCACTCCCGGAACTGGAGGGGGGGTGAGGGTGGGAGGGGGGGCGAAATTCCTTCCCCCCCCCTTAAAAAAAAAAAAAAATAAAAGGAAAAGACACCGAGGGGTTTTGGGAAGGGGAGGAGGGGGAGTCTGGGAGGGAGAGGAGGAGGAAGGAGGTGGGGGACGGACCCCAGCTGCGTGGGGGCCATTCAGTTCTTGGGCTCTTCGCCAGCCTCGCCGCCGTCTTCGCCCGCGCACTCGGCTGTCCATAGCGTCAGGTTGTCCCTGAGCAGCTGCATGATGAGGGTGCTGTCCTTGTAGGAGTCTTCGCTGAGCGTGTGCAGGTCCCCCATGGCCTCGTCGAAGGTGGTCTTGGCCAGCGAGATGGCCTGCTCGGGGGCGTTGGCGATCTCATAGTGGAAGACGGAGAAGTTGAGGGCCAACCCCAGGCGGATGGGGTTCGTGGGCTGCATCTCCTTTTTGCTGATGTCCATGGCCTCTTGGTACGCCTTCTGGGCGCTGTCGATCGTCTCCTTGCGGTCGTTGCCGGCGGCCACCTCGGCCAGGTATCGGAAATAGTCTCCCTTCATCTTCAGGTAGAACACTTTGCTCTCGGCGTCGCCGGCCTTCTTGATGAGGTGCTTCTCCAGCAAGCCCAGCACCACGTTGCAGACCCCCTTCAGCTCCTCTTCCACCTTCTCCCTGTATTCGTTCACCAGCTGCGCTTTGTCGTCGCCCTCCTCGGTTTTGTGCTCGATGCTGGAGATGACCCTCCAGGCCGAGCGCTGGCAGCCCACCACGTTCTTGTAGGCGACGGAGAGGAGGTTGCGCTCCTCGTTGGAGAGCTCGTCGCCGTGCTCCACCACCGCCTTCATGAAGTCCGCCATGTCCTCGTAGCGCTCGGCCTGCTCGGCCAGCTTGGCTTTCTGCACTTGGTGGTTTCTTGCCATGGCTGAAGGCGGACGGGCGCGGGACGAGACGTCGGGGCGAGGAGCGGGGCTGGGAGCCGTCGGAGCCTCTGCTGAGCTTCGCCGCCTCGATTCGCTTTTGGCTGAGCGTCGGAGCCCCGAGCGAGAGCGGGAGGAGTCAGCGAGGCTGAAGGAGCGGCCTCCTCCTCCTCTGCTTCCTCCCCGCTGAGCCCGCCCTTAAAAGCCAAATTGCCGTGAGTCATCGCGCCCCGAGGCAGAGGGGTGCTGGGGAAGGGGTGAGCGGGTGGCACCCACCCTGCCTTCGCTCAGGGTGCCGGGAGGGAGAGGATGAGCTCAGGGAAGTCCTGGGGTCCTCGGAGAGCCCCCCCCCGTCAAGGGGACACCCCAGGGGGACTCCGGATCCGTGGAGAACTCTGGGTCAACGGGAGATCCTGCATTAGTGGGAGACTGAACCGATGGGGGAGCTGGGATCAGTTGGGAACCCTGAACTAATGAAGGTCCCTGGATCAATGGGAGACCCCAAATAAATGGGAGACGTGGAATCCATGGAGACCCCAGACCAGTGGGGGACCCTGAACCAATAGGAAAGCCTAGATCAGTGGGATGCTCGGATCCATGGGAGACCTGGAATCATTGGGGTCCCCAGATCAATGGGAAACCTCAAATAAATGGAAGACTCTGAATCAACGGGGGACCCCAAATAAATGGGAGATCCGGAATCAATGGAGATCCCAGATCAATGGGGGATCCTGAATCATTGGGGGAACCTGGATCAATGGGGGACCCCAAATAAATGGGAGACCTGGAATCAATGGAGACCCCAGATGACCGGGAGACCAATTGGGGACCCTTCCCCATCTGCCAGCAGTGCTCGGAACAGGGAGCAGTGGGGTCGTCACATTGGGGTGAAGCAGGAATGCGGCAGCACCCGGTGCTCCCTTCCCAAACACCCTTAGAGAAACAGCACGGGGTGGGCCTGGCTGTAAAAATGGTCTCCTCCCAAAAATCCTATCGCTGTCATTTTTATATGATGATTAACTCGTTGGTAATTGCGAGGGCTTGAAGGGCAGGTATTTATTCCCACCGGTGGGGAAATCGAGGCAGGAGGAGCAGCACCTTGCCCAGCACTGCCACAGGGATCGGGGCCAGGATTGGGATCGGGGCATTCCCAACCAACACCGCCGGCTCAGGGGAATTGCCCTGGCACTTGGAAGTACTCAACACCAACCCCCTCCCAAAATATCGGGGTGTCCCCAACCCCAGGGCAGCTCCACACCCACAAACCCCACCGGAGCCCCATTAAGGCTTCTCCAGCTCTCCCCCAGACCCATTGCCACGTCCCCCACCCTCTCCATTCAGCCCAGCAGGGCACGTTTCGCTCCCTTCATGCCGCACTGAAAAGAGTTGAGATTTTTTTTTTTCAATTTTTTTTTTGTTTTTTTTCATCCTCATTTTTATTTTACTTCTGCCCAGGAGCGCTGGCGGCCCCGATTAGGATCTGCGCTCAGCGTTGCGCTGCAGTTTCGCTCTCAGCCTGTTCCCACACGCCGGCACAGGGCAGGGTGCGGCGGGCAGGCAGCACGTGGGGATGGGGCCAAGGGCTTCACCAGCACTGTGCCAGCACCCTCGGCCCCATCCCTTCCGTTCTGTCCCTGCTGGGGTTGCTCAGGGCTGGAAGCTGCCGGTCCCAGCTTTGTGCGGTCCCACTCCCCGTCCAGCCAAGCGGTGGGGGCTGTGTGGTTTGGGGCCCAAAGTGGAGCCCACGTGGGCACTGCCTGACCTCACGGATGGAAGGGGCTGTGGTTTTGAACAGAATGCATTTCTGCCCCATCTCATCCCAACATGGTAGCACCCCCCCATCGGAGAGTATGGGGGCAGGTCCCCCTCAGGGCGCAGCGTGGAGCTCGAGGGTTCGGGTGCTGCCAGAAGCACTGAGCTGCTGCCAAATGGTGGCAATGAGCTGAGCAGGAGCTGCAGAAATATTCTGCTCTACCGGTTTTGGTGCAAGTTAGGGGGGGAGGAGGAGGTGAAGGGACGAGCCCCAGCTCTGTGCCCTGCTGGGGGGGGGAGCATGGCCACCCATCACACTCAGAGCACCCACAGATGCCCCTAAACTCACACAGCTTCAGCGAGGGATGCAGGATGGAGCCCAGCACCACAGAGACAGACAGGAAATGGGAAAATCTTTATTTCATTACAAAAGTAAAAGGCAGAATCCTACCAGGCTTGAAGCCCTTTGCACAGGGGGAAGGGACCCATCCCCTCCATCAGAGCCCCATAGTGATGAACCGGGGGGTGGGGAGCTCATAAGGAGGGTGAGTATTGACCATGCACCATCCTACAGGGTCAAGTGGGATGCAGTGGGCAACATGTGCTGGCTCAAACCCAACCCCCCCCGCCCCCCAGGAGGAGCCCCCAGGTAGGGCTGGGTGCTGGGAGCCCTGGCTCAGTTTATGGCCCTTCCCCACGGTGAGTGGGAGGCAGGAGGAACGCAGTATTGCACTCAGGAGGGATGCTGTATGGCTTTTTGGCCCCTGCTGTGGGTGGGGGGCTCAGAAAGGCTTTGGCTTGCACATGGCTGCTCTCCCCCCTGTCTCCCAGCAGGAAGGGGGAAGGCACAGCTCTGTAGAGGCACAGGCGGTGCTGATGGCTGTCGTCATCGGGGAGGTTCGTGGGGTCCTGGCTTCCCCAGGGTGCTCCAAGAGGGGCAGAGGGGCTGCCGGCCTGCGGAGCTCCGTGCTGCCCTGAGCACACTGCACAGCCCCAGGACCGGGGAAGGAGGAGAAAGAACTCACCTTGATGGTAGGCACATGGGAGGACAAATGTCACATTACACACAGGGAAACTGAGGCACGGAGACATGGAGATGAGGGGTGGAACCATAACGTGCTCCCAGTCCGGACAAACCACAAACACATCCCTGCACCGTGCAGGGCACTACTGCAAACATCACGGGGCTGCTGTCCCTAAGCTGGGCTGACCCAGTCCAGCTCCATCTCACAGCACTCGGGGGAGGGGGGAGGGAAGCACCCTGCTGTGCTCACCCAGGCTGCAGGAAGGCGGTGGGAGCATGCAGGTATCAGCACGGCTGGAGGGTGATGGAGGGCTTCACAGGCAGAGCCGGACATGCAGTGGAGATGAGATGGGCTGAAGGAGAAAAAGGAAATCCTTTCTTACCAGCCAGCCCCCAAAATGCAGGGCCAGGGGCAGAGGAGAGGGCACGTCCAATCAGGCTGTGCAGGAAACAGCGAAGTCCTGGCAGGCATCCTCCTGGGGAAGACACCAGAGTTACGCGCCGCAACGCCAGCGGGCACGGGGTGTGCGAGCTGTGATGGATGGAGTGCGGGGCCCAGAGGGAGCTCAGCTCCAAGCAGAGATGCATGAGCAGGGCGACACTTGGCCCAGCCCCGAGACCTGGGGGTAAACCCCCTCCCCCAGTTTCAACTTGGTGCTCAGTGCCCCCTCCCCCCCCCGCGCAGCCCCATCCTGCAGGAGGGCGCCCAGGCGAGCCCTGTGACTAATGCACCATCCAACGTCAACATCCTCTTTTGTCTTAAAGAATAAAAAAATAATTCAAGCAATTAACTCTTTAAAAATATAATTTTATTACAACGAGTAATCAAGGAAACTGGTTTCAATAAGAACAGGAAGGAACCTGGGCCCCGCTGATGACCTGCACACGGCTCTGTTGGCTCCAGGTCCTCCTGCTCAGCCCTTGCTGGCAGGGACAAACCCCTGGGACAGCTGTGCAGCAGCAGGGACATAGGGGCACAGCAGCCTCTCCGGATGCCAAGGTGGATTTTAGGCTTCCAGGCTGAAGCACGCAGCCCATGGGATGGCATGGAGCCACACTGCTCCCATTGCGCTCAGTGAGGGCCATCTGCTGGGATGCAGCAGAAATGGAGCAGCTGCCACGCTCTCACCTGGGCCCCTGGGGCCAGCTGGGCTTTCTGCAGAGGGGAAGGCAAGCTGGTGGCCATGGCAAGCTGGCAGCCCTCCATGTGGGCTGGCTCAGTCACCTGCTGCATACAGCACAGCTCTGGCTAACTCAGCAGGACAAGCTGCCCCCTGCCCCAGGCTGAAACCCCTGCCTGCAACTCCCAGGAAACCCAACCAGGCAGCTTGACACAAAGCCCTGCAAGGCTCCAGCCTGATCCTAACATGCACAATGCTATCTATGTCAAATATAAAAACATTACATAGAAAAAAAAAATCTACAAATTGTGCAAAATTATCCAGCAGCTTTTAGTAACACGATTCAAGTATTGCTAACAAGGCCTGTGAGTCTCCCTCTACTGCTCCTGTCAGCAACCTGCAGAGCTGGGAGCCCAACCCGGCTCAGCCACATCTCCATAGGCTGGGAACTATGCACCAAGGCACACAGGGATCACCCTGAGTTCTCTGCTGGCCCAAAACCCAAAGCAAGAGCACGATGTGAGGCTGTCAGAGATCAGAACACACTTGCTGCTCTCTCTGTGTAACCACCTGGGACAGGCACAGCCCTTGGGAAGTCACCACTTTCCTGCAGCCATCCATTCTCCTACAGGTTGGATGCAGTCGGGCTTCCCTGGCAAGTTAAGGATCCCAAATCTCACAGCTGGAGCTTCCCACAGGGAGAGCTGCAGGATGCTGTATGTGTTTCTTCTTCCTCACTACGAGGGTCCTCCTAACTTGTGCCCTTGCTGCAAAGCTTTGTCTTACTGCCACAGCCAACATGCCAAGATCTCCCCAGCATTGCCCCGGTGAGCAGACAGAATACAGAACCAGCAGCAGACAGGACGCCCAGCCGGCTCCCATGGCTGCACAACCACAACTCAGCAAGGCACAGCAGCTGCTGGACAAGAAAAGCCACTCTGGCAGCAGGTCAAGCTGAATACCTGGCCGCTAAGACACACAACCCCTCTGCATTGGCACGGAGGAGCAAGAAGCGTTCATGGATACAGCAGGGGCAGCAGGGAGCTTCCACCTGCACCAGCCTTGCAGGCAAGGCTCAGCAGCACAGCTCCAAGCAGGATCCCTCTGCCAGCCCACGCCCCGTTCTCAGCTCCTCTCTGCCCCACGCAGGGCACGCAGCCACTGCCCGGAGTGATGCTCCAGGCTCAGGGCTCTCCTCTCCCCAGACCCGTTTTGCTTCCCAGGTGCAGGAGGGATCCCTGCTTCCCCGGCAGCCCCGGGGTGCTGCATCAGTCAGAAGTCCAGGCAGGTCACATCACAGTGAAAGGAAGAAACAAAAAATAATAAATAAATAATAATAATTAAAAAAAAGGCAACGTATGGCTCGACCGAGTCTTTGGCAGATCTGCATCACAAAGCTGTCCTGCCTGAGGCCAGGGAGATGGTGAGAAGGGAAGGTACTGCTGGAGATGGGTGCAGGCATGGCAGGCACTGGGCTACACCCCAGCACCACCTCCTACCATGCTGGTGTCAGGTTTGGCTCCAAAGGAAGGGATTTCGTTCTTTGGACTGGCCGGCGTCCCCACATCTGGCTGGATGAACCCTCTTCTGTCTATCAAACTGGAAAACAAAAGGGAAAAGACGCAAGGGGAGGAGGGTTAGGATGCAGGACATGGAGACCGGATGCACAGCCACTGAATCAAATCATTTTCAGTGATGGTTTCTGCAGACCCTCAGCTGGCCTGGGCTGTAAACCAACCCTGATCATAAAACCAAAACCTTCCTGACACGCAGACAGTTCTGTTGTAGAGATGGAGCTGATGACCCACAGGAGGTCTCCACAGCTCCCTGCCCACCACACAGCCAACAGAAAGGTTTGGGTTGCCACAGACCCAAGTGGGAGCTGCAGAAGGACTTTATAACAGGAATACAAACTAAACGTGGAAAGAATCTAGGTGAAATGTTGTTCTGCAGCCTCCCAGCACGCAGCTCAGCTCCCTGAAACCCATTTAGCATTGCTGAATGGCAATGCTGGCATTTCAGTACCTCTGAGGCCAACAAAGAGCAGTGGGTAATGCAGGGAGCAATGCAGAGAGCAGGATGCAGAACACAGAGCTGCACAGCAGGCAGCCTAACTCTGCCCCAGTGCACCCTCTGGTGACAGAGCAGCGAAAGCAGCTGCTTGTAGCTCCCCAGACAAACACTCAAAGCTGTTCTGGAGAATCTGGTGGGATGCTGCCAAGCATTTCGGGTCATCTGAGCTCTCACCTGGGATGGAATGGTCCACACAGCACCGCACAGCAGTTTGTGAGGATACTTTTATGGCTGTAAGGATTGGCAAACTCTGAACCCCTCTTATTTGACCAGGACCCTTTGATCTGAAAGGAAAGGACACGATTAAGGTAGGAAAGAGGTGATGGTAGGTAATGGCGCGATGGGGGGCTTGGTTCAAATCCTCGCTCAGGAGGTGGGAGGTTGGGCTTAATGCAAACCTCCTCCCTGTGTGATGAGCAGCAGGGCAGCATGACGGCACTGTGCTGCTCCTGCCTCTGCCCAGGCTCAGCAACCAGAAGCTCCAGAGCCGTGTCCCCTCTATGCCGTGCACCATCAGTGCCACTGCCTGACCCTCACCCCTCTTTATTCTCTGCTAAGCTGAAAGCTCTTCAGAGCAGCGCTCTGCCTAACGGTCCCTCTCATGCTCCAGAGGTTAAACAAGCAGTGAGGGGACTCCCAGGTCATTCTGCAACAGGAGGAAGTAATCTCATGTCCCCACCCTCAGCAGCTGTCACAAGGACTCTGATTTTGAAAGTCAGGGCACGTTCAGCATAGGCGCACGCAGGTGGGCAGATGTTGTACCCAGCCCTGGGCCCCTGGATGCAGTGAACCATTCACCACCCTGTTTCCTCCTTCTGTTTTTACTCCCCCTCTGCAGATGCAGCACGTGCCTGGGATGTGGGCAGCACAGCTGGAGGAGCTTTGGGCTCACGGCTGGTGGGGCTGGGCTGTGACAGCCTGCTGCAGTCCAGCCAACCACTCTCAGCCAACAGAATGGGGAGGAGGAAGAAATGAAAGGAGGAGAAAAACAAACAAAAAAAAAGGATTCAAACTTGATGGGATGCAGTGCTGGAAGCTTCCAGCAAGGATGACAGGTACTTCTGATCAGAAGGGTGAATTTTGATTCCTTCTGAGGATCAGACAGATCCTGCTTTTCCATACAGTCTGCCCTTCTCAGGGCACTCACTCAGCCCTTTGAGTCTGCACCACCCCAGCCTTTAAGGCACACCTCTTGAGAAGGCATCTGTGTATTTTTTGCTTATTAGACACGAGGAACTAATAGAGACAAAGGGACTTGCCCAGGGTCTCTCAGGAAACCTGTGGTTAGACAGGATGCTGAATTAAGATCACCCATGTCCCAAGCTAACACCCAAACCTCAGGGGCCTGCTTTCCTTTTTTTAACCTCAGAACTCCTCATTTTAAGCAAACCCATACACAGAATGGAAAAAAGCCCACACGTGTGACCCTGCTGACATTTCAGAGTGCTGCCTCCCAATCTGACACCAATGCTGTCCTCCCACCACGCTGCTGTTTGCTGGTGTTCCCTTGCTCAGCTCTCCAAACCAGGAGCACAGCTGCTTCCTTGTCAGTGGATTATGGCAGAATACCTCACCCAGATCCTGCACCATGGCCAGGGAGTCCTGGGAGCCTCACCTCTGCTGAGAGAGCAGGAGGGCTGGCAGCCCCTCAGCAGATTTTGGGGTGAAAAGTTGAGGGTTTGGATACTCACGTCTTCGTTCGTGGTCAGGTTCGAGGCAACTAAGTAAGTGTGAAAACCTGAGAGGCCCAAAATAGACCAGACTGAGAAAAAACAAATCACCAGCTCCAGCACAGTGAAACAAAAGTCAAGGAATTCTCAGGGAACAAAGTCATCTACACAAGCTGTTTTGGGGAGGCACTCACAGTTAAGACCACACCAACTGGGCCATGAAAGCATCCCAGCTACCTCTCCACCCCCATGCCATTCTGCAGCCATCCACCAATGCATGACTTTCTCCAGATGTTCCTCATCCTTCAGAACCTTGCAAGCTGGGAATCAAATTTGCTACCCAGCCTTAGTCCCTGGCAATGAACTACAAGTGGGAGTAAAGATGAAACCAAACTGGTGATGCCATCAGTCTGTGAGCATCGGATACCTGCCTGCCCCAACCTGGCACCTGGGGTCTGATTAAACCATGGGAATTGCATCAGGCCACCCCTACAAAGAGCCAGCTTCCCTTCTCCGTTACACAATTAATTGCTGCTGCACCAGTGCTCAATTGTCCAAGCAGTTGTTGGCACCAAAAGGATATCTTGCAGGTGTTGTCTTCAGAGTGGTGAGGAATCCATCTCTCTGAGAGCCTGCAAGGCAAATGGGACAAGGAACCACGTTCCAGCAGGCAGCCTCACACCTCCAGGCAATGCTTCACTCCCCAGCACACAGCCACCCCCCGCAGGCCAGAGGGATCTGCCTGGCTGCCCAAAAACACCTGCAGGCTGCAACTGCGCAGAGATGTCAGCGAGCAAGCGCAGGTCCAGGAGATTTAGAGCTGAAGGAGAGGTCACCTCCCCTGCAGGGCTAAGTGAAGACACACTTAAAGCCCACCCATTTGGGATTGCACAAAATGCATTTGCTCTGCAGGGGGATAACTCTGTCACCAGCTCTCAAGGTTTCTCTGCAGAGAGGAGAGGAGCAGTCAGGGCTTCCCCGCAACGTGAACCCCCATTTATTTGGGATACCTGCACTGGGATGCCAGGCTCAAACCCACACAACAACCTCGTGCTGCCCCAGGGCCCCGAGCTGCTTGTCTCCTAAAGCAAGGTGTGCTGCTGCTGCTGCTGGCAGCTGGACTTACGCAGAGTGAGGTGGGTGACGACGCAGGCGAAGATGAAGGCTGTCAGGAAGGAGAGGGAGAGGATGAAGGCGTAGAAGTAGCGGTAGTTGCGCTTCCCCACGCAGTTGCCCACCCAGGGGCAGTGGTGATCAAACCTCTCTGGAACACAGGAAAACAGTGAGGCTGCTGCTGCCCTCCACACGCTGCTGAGCCTCTGACAACCGGCTGAGAACCGAGCTCACACCCACTGTGCCGAGATCAGCAGCTCTCAGCAGAGCATCATTGCTGAGAAGCTTGAAGCAAGCCCTGCAGCCTGTTCATAGACCCCTTCTTAAACATCATTTAAGGTCAAAACTTTCCTATCACCATGCACTGCAAGCTTGCAAGCCCTGTGACCGGTAACATCTCCCATTACTAAAACTGAAAGAGAGCAGGGAAAGCGTGGCAGTTTCTCCAGCAGCCAGCAGCACTGGGTGTGTACCCACAGCATTGCTGCTCTCCCTCTGTGTGTCTGTTCCCTTTGCAGAAAATAATATACAAAGTTATGAAAATACGGCTCTACAATCCAAGAAACTGCCTGGGAACCCATGGCAGGTACAGTATGCCTGGAAGCACTCCCAGCTTCTAATGAAAGGGCTGGATTGCAGACTGAAGCACTGCTGTAACCCTGCTGCAGGGGACATCAACACAAACAAAACTCTGACACAAAGTCAGTGCATGCCTGCTCACCCAGACTGTACCTCCCCAAATGCTGTCCTGCCTGTGGCTGCTTTCCAGGCAGCAGATCCAGTGCAAGGAGGAGCCCCAGCCACCCACAGCTATCCCCAGACATGAAACACATGAGAGCTCCCAAACTTAATCAGAGCCATGGGGTTCTGCTGCTCCATCTGCCCCAGTGAAGTGCAGTGCGTGGCTCCAGGGCCCCACGGGGGACTACCAGGAGCCTCACTCAAGGAGCAAAGCCTCTGCTCGTGCCACTGAGCCCTGTGCTGCTGCTCTGCCCACTCACACTGCTCCCTGCACGGGGACTGGCTGCATGGAGCCTTGGGGGCTTTTCTTGTCCTCCTTCCCTCCTGCCCCACCGCAGCCAGAGGGCACAGAGTGAATGCATAGATGAGCTACACCACAACCTGCAGCAGTTTCTGTACCACCCAGAGGCCAGGGACAGCTTGGAGCCTGCTGCAAACATTGTGCTTGGTGAAGCCTTGACATAATCACAGAATCACAGAACGGCCAGGGTTGGAAGGGACCTTGAGGATGATGAATCTCCAACCCCCTGCCACACGCAGGGCCACCAACCTCCACATTCAATACCAGCCCAGGCTGCCCAGGGCCCCATCCAACCTGGCCTTGAACACCTCCAGGGACAGACGGGGCATCACAGCCTCTCTGGGCAGCTGTTCCAGTAAAACCACACATCATGGAACACTCCCCTCCAAAGCAGGGGAAAGAGACACAGAGCACTGGACATGCTGAGCCCTCAACCCGAGCCACTTCTATTTAAATGAGAAGAGGCCAGACCTCTTGCTATCTCACCATATAACCCCTTGTGAAAAGCAAAAGCAGTCTGCTCAGGAACCTAAGCCGCCCTTACACCCATGGGATGCAAACTGCTGCTTTCAGGACTCACCGACGCAGTTGTCGCAGACGCTGCAGTGAGAGGTGCGGGGGGGACGGAACATTTTGCAGGTGTAGCAGTATTTGAGCTTCACCACGTACTTATTGATGACCACTTCCATCGTGCGGGCTGGCAGGCGGTACGTGGAGGTCCCCATGGCATCTGCAAGGGAGAGGAGGGACAGTCAGAGCAGTGCAGGGGACACCTGACCACCCCAGGATCCAGCTGACACCCCACGGGACCCCAATCCGCTGCCAGGCACGACGAGGCATTGGCACATCCCCATCACAGAGCAGCACAGCAAGCACGTCTCAGGTGCTCCAAGGAAGATTTCATTGACCCATGCACATCAGTGGCACGAAGGGTTCCTTATCCTCGTGGGTGAAACTGAGGATTTGCAGAGGTGCTGTGCGTTTCACCTGTGCGTTGTGCACTTGGAGCTGGCAGCTAGAAACTGATTATCAGCTTGGCAAAATTGGGAGCTGGAAAACCTCTGTGCCATGTCTGCGATTTTGGGTTATTTGTTTGTCTCAGCCGCTCCTGAAAGAGCACATTTCCCACTCCTGGGGAAGGCTTTGAAAATAGAGATGTAACAGAGCAAGGTAAGAGGAAAATAAATGGATTATATTACCAGCAACAGCTGGTGCAGCAGGCAGCATCTGCAGCCAGATTACTGCTGTCAGCACTTATAAATAGAAACACAGATAACCATTCTGAGAAGATTTTCAAGCCAGTTTTTTTAGTCAAGTACAGAATTATCGCCTTGCAGCTGCCCTCAGTGGGCAGATGGGAAATGCTCCATGTCAGCTCTGCTAAAGCATTTCTTACTGAAGGTCAGGGTGCACACACCTTCCTGGCACTGCAGCACAGCAGACAATGGCACTGATGCAGTGAAAAGCAAAGAGCTGGGGGCTGAGCCCATCACATCATTTGTGTCCAGGTCTGGAGCCCCCAGTACAACAAGGACAGAGAGCTGTTGGAGACGGTCCAGAGGAGCCACAAAGATGATCAGGGGACTGGAGCACCTCCCCTACAAAGACAGGCTGAGGGAGCTGGGCTTGTTCAGCATAGAGAAAAGAAGGCTGCGGGGTGACCTCATTGCAGCCTGCAATACCTAAAGGGAGCCTACAAACAGGAGGGGAATCAACTCTTGGAATGGGGAGATAACAGCAGGACAAGGGGAAATGGTTTGAAGTTGAGGGCGGGAAGATTTAGGTTGGATGTCAGGGGGAAGTTCTTTACTATGAGAGTGGTGAGGTGCTGGAACAGCTGCCCAGAGAGGCTGTGATGCCCCGTTCATCCCTGGAGGCGTTAAAGGCCAGGTTGGATGGGGCCCTGGGCAGCCTGGTATTAAATGGGGAGGTATTAAATGGGCTGGTATTAAATGGGGAGGCTTGTGGCCCTACATGTGGCAGGGGGTTGGAGATTTGTGATCCTTGAGCTCCCTTCCAACCCTGGCCATTCACCTCGTCCTCCTTGCAGGGCTCAGGCTGCTCAGCCCAGCCCTCACTATCTGCAGGATGCTTACACAGAGGTTTGTCGTGGTTTACCACAAGCAGCTCTGAAACCCACTAAAGCCTCCAGGAGGGATGGTTCCACTTGGAGTGAGCGCACAGGTTAAGGGCTCCATTCCTTCTCACACTGGCGTTCCAAAGCATCCCAGCACTGGACATCCCCCCCCCTGCACTTCTGGCTGAGTGCTTCCAGCTTACAAATCCACAGTGCCTTTACTACACCCCAAGAGTGGATGGCCCCAGGCCCATCCTGCTCTCTCATCTCCTGCTGCGCAGCCCCTCCACCTTCCCAATGCTGACCTGAGCAAGGAGTGGCAGCTCAGTTCCATCACAGCAAAATTCCTGCTGCGGGGTGACCCCACCAACACCAGCAGGAGGGAGGGCAGTGAGAGATGGGACCATGCATCAGTACAGACCACCCTCACTCACACTGAGATGAAATGACTGGGGGACCACTCTCTGTGCAGCAACAATCTCCATCTCAGCACCAGTTTTAGCTCAGTCGCAGCTGTCCCGTGAAAACAGAAAAGAGGATCTCATCCCTACTTGTTTTTAGAAACATTTCCTTGATCCAGGAACCCTACTCAGGAGATTCTGCCAGTCAAGTTCTCCCCTCAAATCCCAGCTGATGTGGGGATAAGCACATCATCTAGGGAAGCTTTTTATCTTCCAAGCGTGCCTCTTGCTTTCGGCAGCTTTCTAAATGCTGCTTGGTTAATCCTCATCAGCTTTCTGTCTTGTCAGAGTCTCTGCACTACAGCCACGTCACAGAAGGGCAGGGGGGAGGAACTCAGGTAGCACAGAACTGTCTCTTCCAAGAGAGGGAAAATAAACCGAGGTCTGTAGGCTCGGCTGGAAATCAAATCCCCAGAAACCCCAGCCCCAGATCTGCACTACGGCACAGACGATGAACGCTCTGCCTGTCTGCCTCCACGAGTGCAGCAGTGTGACTCTGAATGGGGACTTTGTGCACCCCCAGCTGCAGCACAGCCGCTGACAGCACCACGTTCAGGATGCTGATGTCGTGAGCTCTCCTTCATCTCGGCTCTGTACAGAGCCACAGCCTTGGCTTGCTGCTGTGCTACAGGCACAGGGCTTTGCCTGGGAAAGCAACAGGACAAAGCAGAAAGGAAAGCTCTAAGCAGACAGTGTGCAGAAGCACCCGCAGCAGAGGGCCCAGCTGTCTCACCGATGCGTTTCTCCAGGTCTGCAGCCTCACTGGGGGTGGCTCTGGGCAGGATCCCGGGGTCCCTGCAGCTTGTCTGGAGGAGGCAGCTGATGACGAAGAAGAAGAGGACAGCTGCGATGATGGGGATGGCCAGGGTCAGGTGACGGGCGAGGAAGGGGCAGCTGTGAAATGACCAAAAAAACCCCAAACTCACATATATAAGCACTGTTACCACCCATCCCTTCAGAACCAGCTATCGTTTATTACACAACATACTACAGATTACCGCGGGGAGGGGGTTGGGCTGAAGTAGAGCCCTCTAACACAGCAGGAGCCAGCACAGATCACGACCCGTAACACAAATCCTGCAGCGCCGGAGCTGTGCGGGGCAGCCCCGTGTTCTCCAGCACCAAGGCAGCACCAGGAGCCAGCCGCTCTGCACCTCTGCCCTCCTCAATCGCAGCATCGCCAAACCGCAGGATATCCCCACTAGGAAAGGACCCACGGGGGTCACCGAGCCCGGCCCCCCCCCCCCCCCCCGCAGCCCGGGTTAAGCAGGGATCAAACACGGCACGAGCTTTGCCCAAAGCGGAGAGGGAAAGGAGCGCTCGTTTTCCTCCGCTTCGGGAGGACTCAACACCGAGCTCGGCTGCCCGGCACGGCGCATCCCCCGAACAACCGGCACGGAAAGGACTCCGAGCTCAGCGCTGCCTCCTCCTCCTCTTTTTCCTCCTCCGGGTCCCGGCAGCTCACGCGCAGAACGGGAAGGACGGACGCGATGTCTCGCACCGCACAGCGGGCACCGCCGGCCGAGGGACGCGAAGCGGCGCTGGGGGCTGCGCGGACTCACTCGAAAGCGAAGAACAGAGCGCTGGTGGCCAGGATGAGACCGAGCGTGAGGGCGAAGACTCCGCTGTGCCCCGCCAGCATCAACCGGCCGCCGCAATAGAAGCGGTTGCGGCCCGGGAACACCTCCCATTTCCGTCGGGGCCGCCAGTTCTCGCCTGGACGTTCCGGTATAACGGGCGGCGGGGAAACGGCGGGGCCCGGAGCGGCGGCACCGGGCGGGATCTGCCGGTACTCGCAGTCCTTCATGGCGCCGCCCGGAGCCCGCAACGCCCGGCCCCGCCCCGCCCCGCATTGCAGCGCCCCCTGCCGGCCACCGTTGGGAGCGGGGTGTGACCGGAGAGCGGCGTTGCGGGGCGGCACGGCTCAGCACGGGGGGGTCGGGGGCGTCGTTGCACAGAATCACAGAAAGGCCCGGGTTGGAAGGGACCTCGAGGATCACGATGCTCCAACCCCCTGCCACACGCAGGGCCACCAACCTCCACATTTCACAGCAGCCCAGGCTGCCCAGGGCCCCATCCAACCTGGCCCTGAACACCTCCAGGGATGGACAGGGCATCACAGCCTCTCTGGGCAGCTGTTCCAGCACCTCACCGCCCTCATAGTAAAGAACTTCCCCCTGACATCCAACCTAAATCTGCCCTCCCTCAACTTCAAACCATTTCCCCTTGTCCTGCTGTTATCTTCCCTTTCAAAGAGTTGATTTCCCTCCTGTTTTAGGCTCCCTTTAGGTATTGCAGGCTGCAATGAGGTCACCCCGCAGCCTTCTTTTCTCTATGCTGAACAAGCCCAGCTCCCTCAGCCTGTCTTTGTAGGGGAGGTGCTCCAGTCCCCTGATCATCTTTGTGGCTCCTCTGGACCGTCTCCAACAGCTCTCTGTCCTTGTTGTACTGGGGGCTCCAGATCTGGACACAGTACTGCAGATGGGACCTCACAAGAGCAGAGCAGAGGGGGACAATCACCTCCCTGTCCCTGCTGGCCACCCCTCTTCTGATGGAGCCCAGGATACCATTTGCTTTTGCAATGCACTCTGCTGGCTCATGTTCAGCTTTTCATCCATCAGGACCCCCAGGTCCTTCTCTGCAGGGCTGCTCTCAAGGACCGCTCCTTCCAGTCTGTGTGGATGCCTGGGATTCCCCTGACCCAAGTGCAGAACCTTGCACTTTGCTGTGTTGAACCTCATCAGTTTCAACCAGGCTCACCTTTCAAGCCTGTTGTGGCCTCATGGGATTGCAAAGAGGAGCCCTAACGGGAAGCAGCAGCTGTGAGCAGGGCCAGCAGCTCATTGCCATGCGTTTCCCCTTCTGTGGTAAGGAGGGCAGCTCTTTCTGCTAATTGCACTTGAGAGTTTCGGTCCAGTGGCTCCTTTTGTGAACATAGGGTTTGAGTTTCTTCCCTCCACGAGATGGGAATCTTTCCTTATCATCTTCTGCATAACAGTGGGAGGCAGACAAAACTCTGCCTGCCTGCCAGGAGCTGCTGCTCTTCCACCTCATCTCCTGCAGTGCCAATGGGAAGGTGGGAGGAGGCGAAAAGTCAGGATAACACCCCAGAAAAGTAAGGAGACACTGGGGAACAACCCCATGGGTACAGCCCTGGTGCTGCTTAGGAAGAGGTGTCCACTGCTACGGCTCTGTGCTGAGCAGCTCCTTTTGTTATAATGAATCTGCGAGCACCCATAAAGCACAGGATGCTGTTCAAAGGAAGTGACTTTGGAAGGTGAAGGTGTACAGTTACATCAGCTGTCCATTCCAGGACACAGCCATGCTCTTCAGCTATGTGTATCATCTGCACTCAATCACTACCTAAAGGAAATTCTGTATTACAACACGTCATGTAGCAGAGTGCAGCAGGAGAAAGGCAAGAAAGATTCCTCCATGCTGAAGTGTCTTTTTAGCTGTTACAAAAACAAAGAAATAGCTCTCCAGGTTCACAGTGCATTTCTCAGATGTTTATTTCAGTGCAGATAACTAATGCAACTGCATATTTGAAAGACAGAAGGAAATGTGTTCCAACAGCTTGTTGTATGGGTGCTGTTTATTTTTCTGTAATTACTCTGCTCATATTCTCCAATGTTATGTTAATGAAGTGGCACAAATGTATGCACACACACCTGATAGTTCTGAACTGCTCTCCTGCATCCTCCTTTACATTACAAAAAAACACACCTTTGTTTATTAAGACAGAAACATTACAAAATGAAACTCCAGCAAGTCAGATCTTTGCCAAGAACCCCAATAACCAGGAAGTCGTTTTTCACAAAGCCCCAACAAATCTGACCTTTTCACTGTGGGGGGTCACTGCCAATTAAGCTCCTTGTGTTTCTAGTTGTTATCACAACACCCACACCTACTAAGTTGATAAAATCATAGGATGGTCTGGGCTGAAAAGGCCCACAGTGCTCATCCAGCTCCAACCCCTGCTGTGTGCAGGTCGCCAACCAGCAGCCCAGGCTGCCCAGAGCCACATCCAGCCTGGCCTTGAATGCCTGCAGGGATGGGGATCCACAGCCTCCTTGGGCAGCCTGTTCCAGTGCCTCACCGCCCTCTGGGTGAAAAACTTCCTCCTATATCCAACCTAAACCTACAATATCTGATTGCTTTGGCTTTCAGCTCTCTCTACTACTGCTGACACGAAGCAATGAGTTAATATACTAAACCAGACTGCCACAGAGAACAGCAGCACAAGCAGCTGTGACTCCTTCAGTGTCAGTCCCACCCTCACCTTGCTGCAGGTGGCACCAGCTAACAAGCTGAGTCTTAACTCAGTAATGACAAACCAGGCCAGTGCTTCTGCTTAAGATTTATCAATCCCAAAGAAAATACGTGGAGGCAAGTTAATATCCATCAGTTTAATAGAGAGGCACTCACCTTGGTAGGGGCAGCTGGCCAGCAGAGTGCCCACACCACCCCTCAGTGCTGTATTTGACAGCAGGAGACAAGAAAGCAGCATTCACAGAAAGCAGGGAGACCTGGTTACAGCTGCAGAGCAGTTGCTCACAAACAAGTTTCTTCTTGCTATGTACAGAAGGAAGAGGCAGTGTAAGTGTGTTCCCAAGCTGCCACAAGTCCTTTCTCGTGGGCCAGTCACCTGTTTGGGCCTTGAGCTGTGTTTATCCACGTGTGATGTGAAATGCAAGCTTACCAGGCAAACACACGCGATACAAAGGTTGGCTGGGATCAGTGCTACCTGTAGACTTTCCCCCTTTCATTTTCACATTTTGCAACAGATCCTGAAAGAGAGAGAAAAAGTGAACAAATGTTGACGTCTTTCCATTCCCCCAGGTGGTTCTGGATGGTGCCCTGTCAGTCTCACTTAACCCCTGCTCTCTTCCCAGCCCTCAGCTGCACGTTATGCCTCCATGTTGAGCAGCAGAGGATGCCAAAGGGAGCAGGCCAGTGACTTAAGAATTAAGCCCAACAGATGGCTGGAAGCCTGCAGTGTTTTTCTGAGGTGCAGGACACGCACACCTCACTTCCAACACCATCTGTTACCCACCTTGATGGTGGGAAGTCGAGTCCTAAGATGGCTGCAATTGCTTGTGACATGGGCTACAGATAACAGATATTTGTAAGCCTGCAGAAATCACCAGCACAATTCCTCTCTGAAAAAAGAAAGTTTCGTTTCAGGTCACTCAAACTCTGTCTGTACAGGTTGAAGCTGCATAGGCAAATATGATACTTCAGATGCCATTAAAGGAATCACACGAGAAGAAGGAGGGATTTTGTATTCCATGAAAATAAAACTGGGAGCAGAGCATAAGAATAATGCATGAAATGAAGATATTTATTCTGGGAAATGATTCATGACTGCCTTTAGCTGGCAGATCATGAGCTTGTGGAGGCACCTGTGACAAACTACTCCAGAAGAGATTTTCACTTATCTGAGTGTTGGTTTTTTTTCCCCATTGAGAACTGTACTGTTCTCAGCCTTTTACCCATTGAGAACTGGTAAACCACCTCTTTCTTTCATCTCTCTCTGCAACCAGTGGCTGTGTTTCCCTTTTCTGACTCCCAAAGGGCAGTACTTCAATCACTGTGTGCACTGAGTCTTCTTTCCATTGGTCTAAAATTCATTAAATTATTCACATTGCCTGGTTTGAGAAACATTCAAATTGTGGGCATCAAACAGCAACCAAGCATCCAAGTAACAGCAGGGAACTTACCAAGATACTCAAAGCTTCTCCTTTCACCGTTCTCCAAAAGTCTGCCTTTGGTTCTCCTTCTCCAGTGATGCCTTCCCAGTTGTCCCATGAGGGGATGACAATCACAGTTCAACTCAAGCACCCACCTCAAAAGAAAAAAACAAAGCTTCACTGTTAGCTGGCACAGCAGCAAAGACGACGACAGTGATCACATTCACACCTACCTTCACAATCACCTGCTTCCATGGCAAGTCAAAACAGCAAGAAGATCCATTATTTATGAGCTACAGAATTCCTCCAGAACTGAAGGGATTCACTGAATCCTGACAATTCAGAAATATTTTCTCCAGGAAATTCACTGTTTTAGGTCTTGGTCATATGGTCCTTTCCCATGAAGGAAAGTATGCAATTAACACGCTCCACAGGAAGGTGTGCATGTTGGCGCTGGGAATGTCCCTGTTTTTACTACTTTTATGCTGCCATGCATTCTTATATTTATTTATTATTTCTTTAAATACATTTTCTTTGTATTTCTGAGAGTTCTCAAAATAAAGAAGGAAATACCTCAATGAAAAATGCTGTGCTGAAGCCTACGCTGAATGATCACATATTTGCATGACAACGAATACACAGTGAAGGTGGTTTGTACACCAGATTATCCATCCCTGTTGCTGCACTCATTTTACTACCAATACGAATTCGTGATCTCTGGTAGGGCCTGGACATTGGGTACCAATGTGGAAAGATAAATCTGAATGGGGAAGTGGAAAGGATGATAAAATGCCCTGCTTTGTTAAGTGGCACGTGGAACCAACATGAGACTTGAAACCCTTGGTTAAGAAAGCAAAATAGAGTGGCACTGTAAGTAATGTGGAGTTGTGGTTGTGTGGACACTTCACTTAGCCTCAAGTGGGACCACAGTGACCACATTGGAAGGAATCTGGCCAAGAAAGTACAAGACAGCACTACTTTTGTTGGGCTGGAGAGTGTAATCAGCAGATGTATTTCTCTCCCATGTGACAGGGATGCCCATCCCTCTAAACACAAACTCCACCTGTCTAAAAACCTTGACTTGAGTGGAGGAAAAAGCTTCATCCATGTGTACAAATGGAGTATTATACAAAGCAGAAAGTTAAGGATAGGATCGAGTCAAAGTTCAGAGGCACGTCCCCTGCAGACAGATGTGCAGACAGACCTTGCTCCTCACCTTTCTCCATATTTGGTAGTTAAAGGAAATATTTCATGTTGGCTGGGACATACCACGTAACCAGACCCACTCTCAAGGAAATTCGGCTCCATGGGGCTAATGGGGGCAATGAGAGAACTGGGTGGCAGTGGGGGAATTGGGGGCACTTGGGGTGGTGGGGGCAATGGGGTTAACAGGGGGAAACTGGAATCAGTGGGGGCTACGTGGGGTAACAGGAAGGAAAAACTGGGAACACTGTGGAGAAACTGGCGATAATGGGGGCACTGGGGGAGAACTGGGAGATCACGTGGGCCTCAACCCGGGGAGAAAAGCCGTCGTGACGTCATCGCTGCCCCCCCCCCCCACGTCCCTTCTCATCCTCGCCCCCTCGCGCCCCGCTGTCACTTCGAGATCATCGCAACAGGACGGTGGTGATAACGTCATCATCCTGCGCCGCACCGCCCCCTTAGCAACGTCCCCCTCCGTTAGGCCCCGGGGGCGGACCCACAGTGCAGAGCCGCCCCTGGCGGAGGGCAGGGCCTTCCCTTTGCCCCCCCCATTCCCCCGGCCCGTTAACCCCGCGTTTCTCCCTCGGGGTCCTCAGTTCCCGGCTATGGCTCTGTGGGTGCTGCTGCTCCTCGCGGTGCTCCCCGTGACTCCCTCCGCCTCTCCCCGCTGCGCCCCGCAGTGCCCCCCTGGCACTTACCCGCACCCCCCGGGCCGAACACGGCAGCGCTGCGGTCCCCCGAAGGGCCGCTCGGAGCCCGTCCGGTGCCGAGGTGCGAAATAGGTTGCGGGAGGCCAACTTCCGGTTGGGGGTCGGAAGTGGCGGGCGAATTCCGGGCTAGGCAGGAAGTGGGTGCACTTCCAATAGGGGCCGGGTAGGAAACTGATGAAAAAATGATTTTCCTGCGTTTGGGGTTCCCCGCAATTGGGAATTTCCACAGGGGTCCGCCTGAAATGGGGTCCGGGGGGGAAACAGAACCCCGGGGCCGTTTTGCTGTGGGGTTCACTGCCGCCCCTCACCCCCCGCAGCGCTCCGTTGCCCCGCGCCGCTCTCTTTCCCTCACGGCACCGTGGAGCCGCGCTTTCCCGCGTACCCCTCCGGCAGCGTCCTCCGCTTCTCGTGTGACGACGGCTTCGTGCTGCGAGGGGCCGCGGAACTGCGCTGCAGACCCGGGGGTGTCTGGAGCGACGCCCCCCCCCGTGTGCGACGACGGCGGTGAGTGGGAGAAGCCCTAAAACCCATCGAAAGGGCCCGAAATCCCTCCAAAAGGCCCCCAAGCCTCCAGGAAATGCTCCAAAATTATTTTGTGGGGCCAAAATATCCCTGGGAGACCTCAAGATCCCTCTAAGAGACCCCAGAAATCTTCAACAAGGCACCCAAATCCCTCAAGGTCTTTAAAATTGTCTTAAATGCCCCAAAATTCTTGGGAACTCCCCAAATCCCTGTATATACCCCAATATACTTGTGAGGAGGGACAGAATCTTCTATAGATAGTTCCAAATGCTTCTGGTGTGAGGGCAAAATCCCTCACATAAAAGCCCCCACATCCTTCTGGGGGTGGCAAAATCCCCACAGAGATCCCGAAGTTCTTCTGAAGAGGGGGTGAAATATATCTGTGGGATGGGGCAAATACCTCAAAAGCCCTAAAATCCTTCATAAGGGCCCCAAAATCCTTTCCAGAAGGGGATGTTAAGAGTGTGGGCAGAGCCCTTATCATCACCCCCAAATCTCTCAATGACGCTCCAAAATACCTCGGGGGGGGGGGGGGGGGGGGGGGGGGGGGTAGGAAGGGTGTAAAGTTCCTCTTACAGACCCCAGAATTCCTCATAGAGTCCCCAGAGTTCTTCAGGAGGATGGGGGGGACGACAGGGGTTGGAGGGTCTTTATAGGGCTCTCAGCCCTATAGGGGGGTAAGGAACTTGAGTCTGGGGGATTGGGGGGGTTGGTGGGGGGAGTCTTCATGGGATGGATAGGTGGGTTGCTTGGGAGGGACTCAGTGGTCCCTGTGAGGCTGAGGGGAAAGGAAAAAATATCTGGGGGGTTACGGGGTCCTTGGGGTTTGTCAAGAGACCCTAAGGGCCTGGGGGGGGAGGGGAGATAGGAGTTAAATGAGGGGATTCCTATGGGGTTGGGGAGTCTCTGTGGGGTTGGGGGTCATCCCTCTGAGGTGTGTGGGTCCCTTGGGGAGGGGGTCAAGGGCTACCTCCACTGATTCTCCCCCTAGAAGGTGACTGTCCTCCCCCCGCGACACCAGCGGGGGGGGTGACAACGGGCGGGGGACGGCACCATGGAGCCGAGGTTCGGGTGCACTGTGGGGCAGGGCTGCAGCTTCTGGGACCTTCCCGGCGCCACTGCATGGAGACTGGGAGGTGGTCCGGGCCTGAACCCACCTGCCGCCGTGAGTGGCACTGTGTCCCCATGTCCCCAGGTCCTCATACGTCCCATATATCCATGTTCCCAAATACCCCCGTGTCCCCCAAAATCCCCATGTCCTGTATCCCCATGTGCCATATTCCCATGTCCCTAAATATCCTCATATTGTTCCCTTTTTCCTGTGTTCCAGATACCCACGTTCCTAAGTCCCCAAATGTCTGCATGTCCCCAAGCGTCCCTGCATCTCCACATCCCCATAATGTTCCCAAATGTCCTCATATTGTCTCCACGTTCCCACTTCCCCAAAATGTCACAATTTCCCACATCCCCAAAATGTCCCCACAGACCCCTACTCCTTCGACCTCCCTGAGGACATCAGCAGTGGCCTTGGCTCTTCCTTTGCCTCCATCCTGGAGCTGGCGGGTGCCCACGCTGACAATGGTGAGCTGGGGGATGCTGTGGTGACACCACGGTGACATCATCACAATGACCTCACGGTGACACTGTGGTGACAGACAAGTCCCTGGGACGCCGCATTGTACTGAGCCGCAATGAGTCCCTCCATGTCTACGTGCTTCTGGATGCTTCTGGCAGCGTCCAACAGGACAACTTTGAGCTCTTCCGGCAGAGCGCGGTGGCCATCGTGGATAGGGTGTGAGGGGACAGCAGGGTGGGACCATGGGGAGACCACGGGGGATGGGGAGGGGAGATGGGGTGGGACCATGGGGAGAAGAGGTGGGACCATAGGGGGATCATGGAGAGATGAGGAGATGGGGTGAGACCACAGGATGAGGTTAAGACCACAGGGACCAAGGATGGGATGCGATGAGACCCCGAGGAGATGGAATATGACCAAGGGGGTAGGTCCTACAGGTTGGAGGTCTGGAATGGGTGCCCTGAGCTGTCCTCATCCCCCTGCTGCCCCACAGCTCAGCAGCTTCGAGGTGCCCCTCAGGTTTGCCATCGTCTCCTTCGCCACCCACACGCATGTCATCATCTCCACTATCGAAGATGACGCTTCCGATGCTGACGAAGTCATCGCGCGCTTGGAGGCCATGAACTTTGGTGGTACATCCCCACAGTGGGCGACCCCAAAGTTGGGAACGCACTGGGGACACAGTGACATGGTGTTGTCCCCTCAGTGCACAGGAACGCAACGGGGACCAACATGCATGGGGCGCTGTTGGAGGTCTACCACATGATCCTCTTCCAAAAGGAGCGGTCAACGCGTGACGGCCAACCCAATGCGTGGAGGAACATGCGGCATGTCGTCATCCTGCTGACAGATGGTGGGGACAATGAGGGGACAGCGCTTGGGTGGGTGCTGTGGGGCTGGGCTGAGCTCCATCTGCTGCCCCTTAGGGAGGTTCAACGTTGGCGGACATCCCCGGGATGCAGTGGCCAAGATTGAGGATGTGCTGGAGATCAGAGACGACCGCGAGGAGTACCTGGGTGGGTGTGTGGGGACACCAGCAGGGAGATGGGACACTAAGGTTGGCTTTGTGGATCTCTGAAGTGGATTTGAGGATCTCAGTTGGGGTTTGAGAACACCTGAGGTAGAACTGGGCACCTCAAAGGTGATTTGGGGGACCTCAGAGCTAGACTGGGGACATCCGCGGGGCCATGTGGACACCAATGGGGATATGGATGGGGGAGTGGGGACATCAAGGTAGGGTTTGGGGACCTTGGGAGTGGCTTTGGAGAGCTGAGGAATAGGGTTGAGGTGTCCTCAGTGGTTCTGGGGACCTGAATTGGGCTTTGGGCATCTAGAGGCCATCCTGTCTCCACATCCCTGCCCCCAGTGTCCCTTTGCCCTGGCCACTATTTGCTGTTGCACCAGCAGTGGGGTCAACACCCTGGTTTACTCCTGTCTCCAGGGCCAGTGCCCCATCCTGGGTCACCAACCCTCGATTTGGTGCCTCTAACCCCATACTTATGATCACACCCTGTGGCAGATGGCCCAAACCCCATTCTGGGGGCCCTTAACCCTGTTGCAGTGCCCTGAACCCTGTTCTAGATGCCCCAAGCCCTGCTCTACGTGCTCCAATTTTCATGTGAGACATCCAGACCCCACTTCTGAGGCCTTCAGCCACCTTCATTGCACTCAATCCCAGCTCAGGTTCTCCAAACCCCGCTCCAGGTGTCCCCTGTCCCCTTTCTCACCCCCTGACCTCTCACCCCCAGACATCTATGCTTTTGGGGTGGGGACCCTGGAGGTGGACATGGCTGAGCTGGAGGCAGTGGCCTCGCACCGCCGGGATGAGCGCCATGCCTTCAAGCTGGCAGATGCGTCGGCACTGCGCCAGGCACTGGAGGGGGCTCTGACTGCCACTGCCATCGGGGACCTCTGCGGTGTCATCATCCCTGCTGGCACTGCCCGACCACCGTGGCACGTTGTACTGAGGGTGGGCTCTGGGGAGGATCTGTTCGGGTTGGAGATGATCCACTAGGGGCAATTGAGGATGGAGGGGAACGCTTTGGGTACCATCTTGGATGAGGGATCCTTTGGGGAATGTTGGGGGTCAAAGGAATATTTATTGGGGATTCGTTGAGGATGGAGGGAGGAACCATTGGGGATTGAGGGATCCAGTGAGGATGGGGGGAATGTACTGGGGAACGACCGGGGTTGGGAGGATCCATTACAGATTGTTGGGATCCTTTAGGGATTGGGGGGAAATCATGAAGGATCATTAGGGGTGGAGGAGTCTGTTGGGGATGGGAGGACCCAATGGGGACAGGGGATTCCAATGCAGACCCCGTGTTCTTGCACCCCCTTCCCCATTACTTTCCCAGACTGGAGTGCAGCAGCGTTGTGCAGGGACCCTTCTGGGGGGCCGCTGGGTGCTGACGGCTGCCCACTGCTTCCTGGGGGGTGAAAGCCCCCATGACTGGAGTGCTGAGCTGGGTAAGGCCCCCAAAAGTGGGGACTCCCTCATCCTGATCCCAGAGCCCCCCCCAGCCCACTGGGACCCCAAAATCCAGGACCTCTCCACCCCCATTGGGACTCCCCCCCGATTCCCATTTTTGGGGGTCTGCAGCAGGGGGTCAGGAGCTTTCCATCCGGGGGTGGAACCTCCATGAGGACTTTGATATCCGGGGGAGGGCAGCACGGGGGGTCCCTGAATTCTACGACTATGATGTGGCCCTGGTGGAGCTGGAGAAGGAGGTGGGAGACACAGGGGTCCCCAGGTGAGTGGGATAGTGGGGCTGGGGGGGGGCAGGTTGATGTTGAGGGGTTTCTGACCCCCCTAAGAAATCTAATGCCCGCCCCAAAAAAGGCGCATCTGCATACCCTGCACTGAGAATGCAAACAGAGCTCTGAGAATGGCACCAGGGACCACATGCCAGAAGCAAGGTGGGGCACCCAACATCATCCCCACCTCCCTGTATCTCCGTTCCCACACTCCTCATATTGCCAAATGTCACAGTGC